AACCCCTTATGTGCCTGGTGCCTGCAGAGGCTAGAAGAGGACACCAAACTCCTTCAAGCTGGTGTCACAGATGGTTGTGAGCCACCATGTGGGTGCCAGGAACAAAACCCAGTACTCAGGGGAAAAAAAAATCCAGCTAGTGTTCTTAACTACTGAGCCCCCAAACTCTCCTTTTTGATAAGCCTCACTCTTAAATATACTAAAGCAATTAAAGGAATAGATAGCATTTGTGTTAGTAACTTGTCATGTTGCTGTGGCCACATCCTTGAAAGAAAAAAAAAAAAACGAACGAGTTAGTGGAGAGTTAACCTATCTGGCTCATGGTTTGAGAGTAAGTCTGTCACGTCGGGGAAGGCACGGCAGTAGGAGCAGCTTGAAGTTGCCATGGCAGGAGCCTGAAGCTCCTTGCTTGCATCCTCATGGACCCAGAAGCAGAGAGAAAAGAATCCTGGTACTTGGCCGGCATTCCCTCCTCCCCTTCATACTCAGTCTGGATCCTAGCCCACAGGGAGATGCCATCCACATTCAGGGTGTGTCTTCCCACTCAACTAATCCTCCCTGGGAAAACCCCTCCCAGACACACCCAAATATTTGCCTCACTAATGCCCTGGGACTAGGTGTTTCTTAAACCATTTAACAACCCAAGTTTACCATCACCAGCCTACCCCCTTGTCAATTGACACGCAAACATAACCACTTTAAACCACAGCTTTCCATCCATGGCCCCAAGAGTCTCATGTCATCCAAAATATAAAGTCATAGAGTAAACAATCCCATCCCAAAAGAGAGGAACAGGAGGCTAGTAAAGAGGCTGGGACCAGAGAAAAGCAAAACCCAGCAGGGAAAAGACAGCTGCTTTAGGCTCTCTGATGTGAGCAGCCCCTACCTTGCAACTCTGTTGCCTGCTACGGCTGTGGCCTCTCTCTAGGGTCAGCTCCAGTGGGTATCTGTGGCTTCCTGCATCCAATGCTCTAATTTTCTGGCGTCTCCAGTTGGGGATACTCATTGCAACTTGGGCTTGCCCTCAGCTCTCATTCCAAGTCTTCTCAGGTGCTCCCACTGTGAGGAATCTGGTCCTGCTGGAGGTGCCCTGGCCCTGGGACTTTCCTCACATTGACACCTTGGATGTCTCCAAGATCAGCACCATGTGAATATCAATCTGCTCATGAGGTCCCCTGGCCCCGAGGACAACAGCTGTATAGTCCGTGTGCCTCTGGTGCTGACCCTGTGAAATGCCTCTTCAGGTGGCCCTGCTTGATTGGGCTGTCTTGGTTCGGGCATTCTGTTTCTGACTTTTGTTGTTGTTGTTTTCAAATGCATTTTTACTATTATATCCTGAAGCCTCCAGTGGGTGGGGTACTGCTCTTAAGGCAATTTTCTACTCCCCCAGTTGCAAAGTGTGGGAGGCATGTCCTAAATTACACTCATGTTTTCAACAGAGCTGCTGTGCCCACACCTGCCTTTGTCTGTGCTGTCTACGTGTTTAGCTGCGCTCTATTCCTTTCCTCAGCAAGCTACACATCTTTCACATATTTCTGCTCTCTCTCTCTCTCTCCCTCTCTCTCTCTCTCTCATACATGTATGTGCGCGCGCGCGCACACACACACACACACACTGTAGAGCTAATTAAAAGCAGCAAGCAGCCGCCATGCCACAGCCTGAATGTTTTCGCCTCCTCCCCACAACTCTGTCCATTTCTTGTGAACTTAGTCTCACTCACATGGCCAGGACACAGGCAAAAAGCAGCCAGATTCTTTGCCAGAATGGACCGTGAATTTCTTACAACCTGGTTCCTGATGCAGTCCTTTTGCTCCCTAAAATTTCTTGAGCACAGTTTTTATTGCCCACACGTTAGGCATCACTCTGGTTTTTCTAAACCCCCGAGAGAGTGGCCCGCATGGCCCACTGGCCTTAGCTCACAGTGTTCCAGGGGTATGCCAGCATGGAGCAGTAAAGTCTTTCACACTCCCCATGCAGACTAGTTGCAAAGCCCCAGCAACCCAATGCCAGCTTTATTGCAACAATGACAAGTTTTCTTAATACCAATTTTCTGAATTGACTACTTTCTTCATTAGTGCAACAAAATATCTGACGAGCATCTATTTAAGGGGAAAAGATTCATTTGGCCACAGTTTGAGGGCACAGCCCATCATGGTGGAGAGGGGAAGGCTGCTGGTTCACAGCTCCACGGGACAGGAAGCAGAGAGTGACAAACGATGGCACTCAGCCTTTCCCATCCCCCTTTTGTTCAGCCTGGGACCCAGCCCACAGGGATGACAACGGCCATCCTCTCAGTTATTTCTCCCGGGGGAAACCTCACAGACACACCCAAGGGTGTATCACACTAACACCACAGGCACTTCCTGATCTATTCAAGTAGACCATCAAATCAACCATCACAATTCACTCTAGAAAAGGTGTCCCCTAAAATTGAAGGTCCTCACAATTTCCAGGAATGGTTCGCAGGCAGAATTTCATCAGTGTGAACATACATAGGCACATTCTAAACTCTACTTTAAAAAGAGTGACTCACCCCAAAGGACATGAGGTAATGAGAGACACTAAGTTCATGTTCCTCTGCCTTGGGTGCTCACCTTAGCAGTCTGTCATGTTGACCACCCAGCCACCTCATTCCACAAGAACACACTTTAACATCATCATGACTTGGTCATGTCGGTTGCATTATTGTTAACCCCAAAATACAGAACTGTGGTAATCGCATGGCGTTAGCTGGAGTGCCTAGAAGGTAAGCAGTCCCTGACTGAACCATTGGCTATTCTCCAGGCTGACTGACTAAATCTTCGGTGATTAGGGAAAGGATGAAACATTGCAGATGAAGAGCCAAATTATCTTGGGCTAGCTTAGCCTCTTAAGTAGCCATTTATTGGAGCTGGAGAGATGGCTCCACAATTAAGAACACCGGCTGCTTTTCCAGAGGACCAGGGTTGGCTTCCCAGCACCCACATGGTGACTCAAAACCATCTATAACTCCAGTTCCAGTGAACCCATTACCCTTGCTGGCCTCCAAGGGCATTGCCTGCACATGGTACACAGACATGCAGATGGGCAAAACACCCATCACATCAAATAAATCAATCTTAAAAGCAAACAAACCCAGCCACTTTGTGCCCACCTCTGTGTGTAATCCTTGCGACTCTTGGGTAAATTCTTCTGGAGACCTTTAGTGTCCAGCAACCCAAGGCCAAGGATGTCATCCATTAGCATCTGGGGCCTCCAGCAGAAGTTCTCTCGCCTTCCTGACACCTGCCTACCTGATGTTCCCAGCAATGCATTTGAAAAGTGTGTTGACTGATGGCTTTCTTTGTTCTGTATATATATATATATATATATATATATATATATATATATATATATATTTACATACATATATATGCAGTGTGTTTCCCTGTGTCTTCATTTTTCCTTGACTAAGGAAAATTCCTTGAATAAGACTTCGGGCCACAGCTACTCATGTTTGGCTCCAGAATAAAATGTCTTCTTCCTTTTGTGCTCAGAGCTGTGCTGGCAAATGGAGCTTACTGTGTATTTTGTGAACAGTGCTGGGGTTTTTTGTTTTCTTTTGATTTTTTTATCTGTCCTTCTAATGCTAATGTT